GAGCCTGACGCGGGGCTCGAACTCACGGACCGTGAGATCGTGACCTGGCTGAAGTCGGACGCTTAACCGACTGCGCCACCCAGGCGCCCCTCCCCTTGTAAATTTTTAAAAACTGACACATAATTTACATACATATGCCCAAATCTCAAGTGTATAGCCCAGTAATTTTTACATTACATATGTATACGTCTGTGCAGGCAGCGCTCAGACCAGGATATAGACAGTCTTTTTTTGTTCCTTCCCAATCTATAGTCCTACTCCCACAGATGTAACCACTGACCTGACTTCTCTTGCCACAGATTAGTTTTGTCTGTTCTTGAACCTCATACAAATGGAATCATCCACAGCAAGTACTCTTTTGTGTCTGGCCTTCGTCACTGTCTATATGGTGTTTTTGGAATTCATCTGTGTTGTTACATGTATAAGTTTTCTTTTTTCATTGCCATGTGGTATTAGTCCCTTGTATAAATACACCACCATTTCTTTATTCATTCTGCTGTTATTGGACATTTGGGTTGTATCTAAAAAGTGTTTTAGTTGCTACAAGTAGAGTTGTATGAACACATGTACAAGTCTTTTTATGGGCATGTGCACCCATTTCTTCTTGGTATGTACTTAGGAGTGGAATTAGTGGGTCATTTGATAGGTACCTGTGTAGTTGTTCTAGAAATTACCAGTTTGGGGGGCACCTGGGTGGCTCAGTCGGTTAAGCATCTGACTCTTGGTTTCGGCTCAGGTCATTATCTCCCGATGGTTGGTGAGTTCAAGCCCTGAGTAGGGCTCCGTGCTGCCAACGCAGAGCCTGCTTGGGTTTTTCAGTCTCTCCTTCCCTCTCTCTCTCCCTCTCTGCCCCTACCCGGCTTGTGCTCACCCACACTCTCTCTCAAAATAAATAGACTTTAGAAATTACCAATTTTCGGGGCACCTGCCTGGCTCTTTCAGTAGAGCTTGGGGTTGTGAGTTTGAGCCCCATGTTGGGTGTAGAGATTACTTAAAAATAAAATCTGAAGAGGGACGCCTGGGTGGCTCAGTCGGTTGAGCGTCCAACTTGGGCTCAGGTCATGATCTCACGGTTCGTAGGTTCGAGCCCTGCATCACGTTCTGTGCTGACAGCTCAGAGCGTGGAGCCTGTTTCAGATTCTGTGTCTCCCTCTGTCTGCCCCTCCCTTGCTTGTGCTCTGCCTCTGTCTCAAAAATAAACATTAAAAAAAATTTTTTTTTTTAATCTGAAGAGAAGAGAAGGAAGAGAAAAGAGAAAGAAATCACCGGTTTTTAAAAGTGGTTATACTGTTTTATACTCCTGTTCTCACCAGCACTTGATATCATGAGCATCTTTAATTTTCAGCATTCTAGGCTGGTGGATGTGTAACATCTGATTGCAGTATAATTTGCATTTCTCTGATGACTAATGATGTTGAGCATATTTTCATAATCTTATTGGCCATTCAAACACCTTCTTTCGTGGAAGGTGCCTGCTCAAATATTTTGCCCAATTTTAATTTTTTTTAGTGTGTGTGTGTTTTGTTTTGTTTTTTTTAGAGAGAGACAGAGCACAAGTTGGGGAGGGGCAGAGAGAGAGGG